TTTGTAAGTCGCTTTGGATAAAAGCATCTGCTAAATGTCTAAATGATACTAAAATAACACTTACTGCATGCATTCTCACACAATGCTCTGTATTGTGAGGTTTGATACAAATGCTTGATTACATGACAAGCCCACCTGCTCGACTCCAGTGACTGAATATGCATGGCCTGTCACAAGTCCAGATGCTGTTTTAGTCCTTTGAGCAGTTGGAACCAAAACCTGTGCAGAAGAAGCAAAATGTAATGGCATGTCACATTAATGTCACAATAATGCAGCAGTTTTTATTAAAATGCTTCATTATATTTGATATCAGTTAATTATATAATTAATCAATATCACATGAGCAAGAGTTGGACTGTGATTATGTAACTGCTCGGTCATTTTAGATTTTTTTTTTTTTTTACTTCAGTTTATTTTTGCTTCACCAATGAAAATAGTTCAAAACTTACCCCAAGCAATCAACCATTTCACATTTCTGAGCAAACAAAACATAGTAGGGTTTCCTTCCTGAAAGAATCATTGTATTTGAATGAATCCGTAGAATGGTTGATTCACTGACTCATTACAGACAGTGGCTGCATTCAAAATCTCATAATTCCCTACTAGACAGTATGAAACACAGTATGTGAGACGAGAATTATGACCTAATTTATATTATTCATAAAACAGTAGGTGAAAAAAAGTGCACATCTGACGGACGCTTTACTATCCCATAAGCCAACTGACACTGGTAGGTGACATGACAATGACAACATAACAAATGTAAAACGTCTGAATTACATTTACACTTCACACATTCATACTATATAGATTTTTTTAATGGACACAAACTAATTACTTTTGCAAACTAATTAATGCAGCCAGTCATTTGTTTCCTTCTTGAATCATTCTTTTTGTACAAATAATTTGAATGAAGAACGCACTCAAAACACTTGCTGCCACCTACTGGCATATTGATGTAACATGCAGAAAGACTGATTAAAAAATTCCTAGCACTAATGCACAGAATGATAGTCTGTCTGAAATGTACAAACATAGACAAGTGGAGTGTGTAACAGTAAGCTCAATAGTTAGTACATTTTAGATACAGCACACACAGAGAAGCATCAGATATATTTATCAGATTTAGCTGGTTTTTAACCAGAACAGCATCCAGTTCATTTAGTATACGTACATCAATGGCACAGCTCATGAGGGACCCTCTCTTCAGAGCCTTTCTCATGATGTTGTACAGCTCCTTCGGGGCCTCTGTAATCTCATAGAACTCAGTTAATCCTCCAGTGAAGTCCTCCATGGCTTCCAGTGAGTTTCCTCCCTTTAAAGCCTCATAAGAGCCGTGTAGTCTAGGATCCAGAAGTCAAACCATCACATTTAGCATCTTGGACTGATTTTTGACACATGCTAAGGATATCTAGAAAAGCATAAACAGGC